CCCTGCAATGGCTTATCGTGAGGACCATACTAAATCAGATTGTGAGGGTAGCTTCCTCAACTGTAACTGGAACATAGTTGGGTACTACCCCACATACCACAGTCCACAATGAGGGAACATGCTATGGCAGAGGTCTATCAAGGTACTAAGGGACCATAGAGGGAAAGGAAGGTGCTGGAATTGAGAGAGGCTATCTTGTAGAGGTAGCACTGATAACACCTGTGATTGGATCAACATTTAAAGGTCTCAGATGATGTGGTAGTGAGGGTTTTGCAGAGGGAAGTAATCGAAAAATTTCAGAGTTGAAATATGGTGTTTGGGGTGCTTTCAGCTACTAGCACATAGGAGCTCTGACTGAGAAGAGATATGCACAGTAACGCAAAGAAACCTGAACTTTTTCCAGAGAAAAGATCAAATTTTTTTCTCTGGTTAGGCCTATACCCAGCCATGCTGATCATTCAGACTCTAACAGTCCCTGAGAAAAGGAGTTGAAGTCTGTGGGAGGGGGCAGGAGACCCACAGAAGAGGGTGCATGTATCAATATCAGTCCTGGCTGGTGAGTATTCCAGCACCTGCCAGGGATGCCCTGGGGACGCCAGGTCTGCCCTGCTGGGACCCAGCTGCCACCGAGGCCCTCCTGACATCTAACAATGGGTGGTTGAGAGGTCAGGAGGAATAGGGCAGGCTTGACAATGAGATTCCAATGCTATAGAAAGAGAAACAATTGGGACAGAGGGGGAGAGAAGCCAAGTGTTTTGGAACTGTGCAGGACAGGGGGAGGGGGAGGCAAATGTGAGGATGAAATTAGAATGACTGGAATTTTATGGGAGTGTCAGGGAATGAGGAGGAAAGAGTCTGTCCTTGATTATTCTGTTCAGAACAGAAAAGGTCGGGTTGGCCATGGAACAGGCTCCCTTGTTCCTGACCTTGGGGTTGGTCTGTCGACAACACTGATCGGCTCTGCCACAGGAGCCTGATCTTGTCTCTAGCTCGGTCATTTATTCTTCTTTCCATTCAATGAATATTTATTAAACTCTTGCCATATATCAAGCTCTTTGCAAGGTAGCAGGGACAAAAACCTGTAATTTATCTCCCTACTATTGATGACCTAACAATCTTCAGGGGAGACAGATTTAGGAACACAGTAGCACAGCAGAATGAATTAAATGCGCCCGTAGAGGTGGGAGTAAAATGCTGTGCAGGCGAGAGCAAAGGGGCTGTTAGCTCACAGAGGAGGAGAACCTCTCCCAGCTGGGAGATGTGTGTGTTGGGAGCAGCATCAAAAAAAGCTTCCCAGGGCAAGTGACATTTGAGCTACATCTTGATATCTAAGTAGGAGTTTAGCAACAAAAGATCAAGGGAAGGCAGGGGAGCTGAAAGGTCATTCTGGAGAGAGAGGAAAAGTTAATTAGGAATCAGCTAGGAAAATACCTGTCAAATAAGGCTTTGGGGTATCCGGAAGTTTACGCTGATGATGCCCAAGGTAACTTATTCTGGTGATTGCAAGGCTCCAAATAAAAATTCTAGTTCAAGAACTACCTGGAGTGCTGTTACTTCCCTTGTGTTTGCAGAAAAGAGCATCTCCTAGTCTCTGATCTGCCTCCCATACTTCCTTGTGTGCCAAAAGGCACTATAAGATCCTGGTAGAGGATTTCTTCACTGATATATTGACTAGTAAAAGGGGGGAAATGTTTCTTTGTTTCCACTTATATCTGCTGACATCCTATGTGCTAGTAGCTGAAAGCACCCCAAACACCAATCTGAACTATTATGCAGCAAAAATGACGGGGACCAGACATTTAGAGAAACCAGTTAAAACCTTAAGTACTTGCAAAAAGTGAGCCCCCAGATTAAGACAAGGGATGGGGAAGCTGTCATGTGGGTGCAGAGCAACTTGGTGGGGATACAACTAATTGTGAGGAAAGAAAAGCAGGGCTGCTGGAATGAGAAGGGCTGGAAGAGGTGGCTTCTGTAACGGCATCCCTTTCCCTCTGATGCCTACACCTGGTCCTTTCCTCAGATGCTATCTAGAGTCCAAAGGTGGAGATCACTTCCTTCTCAAATGAAGAGTCTAAGATATTGACACTGACGGCCTAGAGTCCTCTGTTGGGATGGTTCTGAGGAATGTCCGACTCGGTAGGAAAGAGTGGGGCTTGTTTAATGGCATCTCTGTGGGCAGAAGGCATGGAGGAGATAATGGCCATCACCCCATGTATTTTCCATCCCTGTGTGCAAACCCATAATGTTTAGATGGAAAAAAGAATTAACAACTGAAATCCATAGAGATCTGCCTCTTTAGGGAGAGAGTCTAAAGCTATGCTATCCACTGTAGCACCTAACCATATGAGGCTATTTAAATTTAAATTAATTATCAAATAATGTCAAAAATTCAATTTATTGGTTGCACTGGCCACATTCCAAGTGCTCGATATAGAACATTTCCATTATTGCAGACGGTTCTCGGAGATGGTATTGGCAGAGAATAATAGATAAAAAGACAGGTTCAGGTGCCAAACTGCCCAGGTTGAATCTCAGATCTGTCACTTGCTCGTGAGGTGACTCAGTAGAACTGCTTTACCCCTCTGTGCCTGGGATTTCGATGTGATACCATTGTGTTATTTCATATATTTCATATATGTAAACAATGAAGAACATTGCCTGGCATCTGGTTAGCATTCAATTAGTGTGAACTATTATGATTAGTATTGCCCATGTTTATGCAGCAATCCAAGAGCAGAAATGGCTAGAAAGGGCTTGACCCTTCCCGCTCCAATCTAGCTCTCTCTATTGATCCATCAGCCTGCTGTCCATTCTGAGCATCATTTTACATTCAGAACATTCTCTCCTTGCCACCCCACACATCTCCCCCTGGGCTCAGGCCCCTTCTTTCTGTGCAGTGGAATTTCCAATCCCGGGAACCCAGGGCATTGTCCCCTGCTAGTCTCTCCCTCCCTTTTACTTTGCCTGATGCCCACTTTCCCTGGGAATCCAGGCTTCTGAGGACAGCTGCAGCTGCTAGCCCTGCTTGCAGCTGCTGCTCAAAAGCAGGGCAGCATGGTTCAGCGGTGCTCCCTCTCAGGACTGATTTTTTTATTTATCCTTGAAAATCTTGTTGGGCTGTGCCAACTGTGGGCACAGTGTCAGCTGCCCCCTGTCTGTCCCTGATGCTTTTGCTTAGGGACCCTTTGTACTTAGGCTCCAGCTGAGTCGCACACTCCAGACAACAACCCCGTAATTCCTTCTGATGGTTTTAGTCATCATCTAACACTATTTGTACCCTCGTGCGTCCCCTGCTCTCATTTCTCTGCCTAGCTCAGTGTGATGGGCTGCATTCACCTGCACAGGAGGGAATGATGTTGATGAAGCTGATGACAAAGCCACCAATTATTGCACACTAATAATGTGCCAGGCCCTGTAATACATGTTTTATGTCAACCCTATTTAATACTACAAAAATCCTGCATGATATTATTGTTGTCATTTTGTAGATAAAGATTTTGAAGTTCTAATGAGTTTATGAAACTTGCCCAAGGTCAATGTTAGTATTTGGCAAACATAACATTCACAGAGAATTTGTCAGACTCACAAGCTCAAAAGAAATCATGATACTTCGATCAGTCTGTGAACTAGAAAAAGTTATCCATCCACATCATCAGTAAACAATTTTTTGCCTGCTGTACCTTGTCATCTAAGAAAATATATCCAGTGACCAAATAGAAACTTTCATATTGAAGCCTAAGACTTCCGGTGAATGGGAAAACTTGGGGACCTATATTCTTTGTTCTTCTGTGTGGCTCCGAAAATAGACAACCAGGGATTATACTCAAGGAGGTTCTGTGAGGAGCATGGTGGTGCCCAATGTTTTGTGCAGCAGGAATCAAGTCACATGGCTCCTACCTGAGACACAACAGAGGCAGCACCTGTCTATCTCCTGATGTGGCCCTCACCTCCCCCCACTGCCATGGAGCCCCCAAGTCTTCTGGGATAATAACTAAAATGACTTGAGATGACTCAGATGACTCACTGAAGAAGTTGTACCCTCACTCCTTTTATCTTGCCTTTATTCTGTTTTTCTTTTAGACTTGCTCTCATGGCTTCCTGCTCTCTTCCTCACTCTCTCTCAGCCTCGCCCAGCCTTCATGTTGGCTTAATTTTGTTTCTCTGGTGTTGTTTCTAAAGCCCTACTTCTTTAACAATTTTGATTTGTCTTTGTATTTTACTCCATATTATTTCAACTGGCTGCTCTGGCTTTGTCCAAATAAAAAATTTCATAGTCAAGTTTTTATTATATTCAATAGCATTGTGAACACTGGGTAGACAAAACTCATAAATTTACAGTTTTTGTTTTCATTCACACATATATTGGTGCCCAAAATATCACTCTGTCAAATAATAAGAATTATTATCACTTTCTTCTTATGAGTCGAGTAGTCATGGACATTATCTGAACATCCTTGTGATCATCTATAAAATAGAAAAAACTAGCACTTTTCTCCCAAAGTTTTATGAGTCTCAGGAACAACACAATTACCAGTATATATTTAAGGACCCTCAAAAAATTGGTTTTATCTCCTTCTCACAGTGTGGAAAAGACCACACTGGAAGCTGCTAATATAACAAGTGCAAACAATAGCCTCCCTTTCAGGAACTGATAAACTAGTAAAGGAGACACAGGTGGATATTGTACCTTTATTTCAAGGATCAATTAACACGATTCCCTGAATTGCAAAGGAAGGAGGCAATATTTAAATAAATATAAAGAAGGAGGCGATAATATATATAAAATAAATATAAATTAATTAATTTAAAGAAAGGGGCAATAAATTATAATATTATTATTGTACTAGGTCAAATTTTTTGAAGGAGGAATTTCCACTAGGCTTTGGGAGTTAAATACAATTTTGGTAAGTGAAGATGGAGAGAGAGGACTCCAGGGAAAGGCATTGCCGGGAGCAAACGTGAGGGAGCAGTAACACTGGGAGGCCACACAAATGTATAGATGAGTTGGCAAAGAAGAGTGAGGGCAGTGGGGTTTGGCAGCTTCTGATGCAGGTGAGGGAGGATTAGTGGTGAATATATACCTGGAAATGTATATCAAGACCAGTTGTAGTGGCCGAAACCGGTTTGGCTCAGTGGATAGGGCGTCAGCCTGCGGACTGAAAAGTCCCAGGTTCGATTCCGGTCAAGGGCATGTACCTTGGTTGCGGGCACATCCCCAGTAGGAGATGTGCAGGAGGAGAGTGAGGGCAGTGGGGTTTGGCAGCTTCTGATGCAGGTGAGGGAGGATTAGTGGTGAATATATACCTGGAAATGTATATCAAGACCAGTTGTAGTGGCCGAAACCGGTTTGGCTCAGTGGATAGAGCGTCAGCCTGCGGACTGAAAAGTCCCAGGTTCGATTCCGGTCAAGGGCATGTAGTACCTTGGTGGGCACATCCCCAGTAGGAGATGTGCAGGAGGCAGCTGATCGATGTTTCTAACTCTATCTCTCTCCCTTCCTCTCTGTAATAAATCAATAAAATATATTTTTTAAAAAGGCCAGTTGTAGTGGACAGGGGTTAAATGTTAGGCTGGGAAGTTTGGACTTCATTCTGTAGTGATTGGAGAACCAATGCAGGTTTTTGACCACAGAGATGATAAGGTCATGGCTTTGCTTTAAGATGATCAATCTGGATGGGTTTTCAGAAGGAAGGAGACATTGGGTGCAAAAAGATTGGAATTTAGAAAGAACACTGTTGCCTGAGTCCAGACAGAGAGATACTGAGGGCCTGATCCAGGGCAGTGGCAATGAAGGTGAGAATGCAAGAGTGAAGAGTATGAAATAAGGAGGGGAGGGGCCACATATTGAGTTCATTCATGCATGTGCTGTTTTGATCTCTCTATCTCTGACTCTATGCCACTCACTACATGTACCTTTCTGCAGCTCTGACTCCCACCGATTCTGTTTCTCTCAATACCTGCCTCAGACTTTCTCTTCCTTGTGAAAACTTTGGTCAATGTCCCTTCTCAGATTATTTGCCAGCACCTAGGAGAAGGGGTAGGACCTTTCTTCCAGAGCTTTTGTTCTAGTGAGAAAACAGTTTGCCGGGAAGCTGCTTGGAGAAAACCAGACTACAGAACCTTCTTTCGAGCCTGGCCCATTAAGCAAACTTCTCTCATGCTTATCTCCTTTGCTCCTCCAGTACTAAATAGTGCCGGATCCCCCTGGTTCTCCATCTGTCTGCATGTGTCCTAGATCTCCCTGGGCAGGGATTAGGTAATTGTGCCATTCCCGTCAGCATGCCCAGGGGTCTGGCAGGGGGGAAGCTGCCGACTGGCAGCAGTGGGCTGAGCAGGAGCCAGGGGAGCATCCACCCCAGGAGCCCCTGAACAGCTTGCGGCTGTGCCTGGCCCTCTGTGGGGAGGCCACGTGCCTGCCTGCCCTGGATCTGCCTCAGTTCAGAGGCCAGCTCTCAGAGGAGGAGAGAACACAGGCTCAGACCAAGGAAGAGCACTTACCATTACCAGGCTGCCCGTCAGGGCCCAGCCCGATGGGAAACACGAGACCCTGCCCCACATTCTCCCTGCCTCTCTGCCTCCACCTCCCCCCCCCCCCCCAGAGCCTAACCTTCTAGCTCAGTTGTTAACATTGAATTAATCCAGGAAGAAGCTCAGGCTGTAGACTTGCCAAAAATTAAATGATCCAAAAAGTGTTTCCACTTGACTTTAGAGTACATTAAAAAATATAAATACATGTGTGTGTGCATGCATGAATATGTTCATGTATACCAACATGTTCAAATATATATACATTTAAATGTATGCATGTGAGTGAGTGGCCAGATTATTATGACCACCTGACGTTTGTAGGCAAATTAGCTATAATTTCGCTCTGAAGTTGCTAGAGGGCCAGACCATTATAAATAGGGAAGCGGGTTGTTTACCACAACAGTAGAAGTGATTTTTTTCAGAAGATATGGGTAAACAACGCAATTTAACAGCCTTTGAATGTAGGAGATATATATATATATATACTGAGTGGCCAGATTATTATGACCACCCCACCAGTACTTCGTCGGGCCACCTTTTGCCTTCAATACTGTGGCGATTCCTCTCGGCATTGACTCCAGAGATGTTGAAAGTTGATGCAAGGAATCTGACACCATGCCTGATGAATAGCACTGTCCAGTTCTGTGAGATTTGATGGTTGTGGAACCAGCTGCCTGATGGCTCTTTTAACTTCGTCCCACAAATGCTCAATTGGATTGAGATCTGGTGATTGTGGGGGCCACCTAAGCAAGGTAAAGTCTCCCTCATGTTCTTGAAACCACTCCTGCACAATACAAGCACTGTGGCATGGTGCATTGTCTTGTTGGAAGAAGCCATCTCCATTGGGATACGCCATCAACATGATAGGATGAACTTGATCAGCAACGATACTTAGGTATGTTGTGCTATTCAGACATTGTTCCACACGAATTAAAGGG